TGAAAAGTGTATTGTACAAACGTGATATTATATTGTAAGAACGTGATATTATATTGTAAGAATGTGAAAATTATATTGTACAAACGTGATATTATATTGTAAGAACGTGATAATTATATTGTACAAACGTGATATTATATTGTAAGAACGTGATAATTATATTGTACAAACGTGATATTATATTGTAAGAACGTGATAATTATATTGTACAAACGTGATATCATATTGTAAGAACGTGATATTATATTGTAAGAACGTGATATCATATTGCAAGAACGTGAAAAGTATATTGTACAAACGTGATATTATATTGTAAGAACGTGAAAAGTATATTGTACAAACGTGATATCATATTGTAAGAACGTGAAAAGTATATTGTACAAACGTGATATTATATTGTAAGAACGTGATATTATATTGTAAGAACGTGAAAATTATATTGTACAAACGTGATATTATATTGTAAGAACGTGAAAAGTATATTGTACAAACGTGATATTATATTGTAAGAACGTGATATTATATTGTAAGAACGTGAAAATTATATTGTACAAACGTGATATTATATTGTAAGAATGTGAAAAGTATATTGTACAAACGTGATATTATATTGTACAAACGGGATATTATATTGTAAGAACGTGAAACTATATTGTACAAACGTGATATTATATTGTACAAACGTGATATTATATTGTAAGAACGTGAAACTATATTGTACAAACGTGATATTATATTGTACAAACGTAATATTATATTGTAAGAACGTGAAACTATATTGTACAAACGTGATATTATATTGTACAAACGTGATATTATATTGTAAGAACGTGAAACTATATTGTACAAACGTGATATTATATTGTAAGAACGTGAAAAGTATATTGTACAAACGTGATAAAGCTCAGATTTTTTTTTACCTGGGTGGCAGCTCTATGCTTCCGTACAAAAGTGAGCGGGCACTTTCACTAATAAAAAAATAGCACTTAAATTATTTCATTTTTGACAATCAATTAAATTACACAGCGGTTTTATATCAAAAGTTGATAATGATTTAACATATACTACATTTTGATGGTAAAATATAACTCTTTATACCCACAACATCCCGAATAACCAACCCAGGTTCATTCTGAAAACGTAGTCCCGTGGACGTTTCTGGAGACCATGAAATACGTCCCGGGAGGTAGGTATTTTTGCAGTTTTTGTTTTCGCGAATATGCGAGAGGCCGATGTGTGCCCTTTTTCGAATCTCAAATGTCTTTCGCGAGTGCCTTTATCGCTTGCACTGTTCTCACTTGAACCCACCAGAGGCCGCTGTCAAATGACCGTCTGTCCGACTGGCTGAATGATTGACTGGGCGACCGGCCAATCAGCTGACCCACCATCCTCCTTTCCTCTTTTTCTCCTGCTTTTCCTTTTCGCCGCTCACCCACTTACTTCCCTAAATCCAGCAACAATTTATAAAAGCTGTGCAGAAAAAGAAAAGCCCTCATCTGATTTTACCACATTCTCACCCTGTTATGAACTTGTTCACTTTAATTTTTGGATTCTGTTTTTGTCTTACCTGATTTCCGGAACTGCTTTTTCCTGGACTCTAACCTGGATTGTCATCGTCATCGTGGTCAGCTCCTCTCTATGTCTCAAGTCCACCGACGTAGACGACGAGCTAATTGGACAAACTGGTTGCGGCGGGAAAGCCCTACACACGGAGGTAAGCGCTCAGCCGGTAAGCGCCAAAAGGAACAGCGTCATACCGCCCAGTAGCGTTCGCTTAAAAAATTAAAATGCAGCCATACGTACCTCCCACTACATAAGTACATGCAGTCGCCAAGTGTGTTCCGAACTGTGGGTTGTGATCCGTACAAAACACAGATCAACTGTGATCCGTTACACCCCTAGTATGTATATACACTCTACTATGGATCGATAGAGAGAAAGAGAATATGGAAATATGAAATTTCTGTGATCTAAAATTAGATTTTCCTTCAGTTTGCCCAAAAAGAAAAATTCTGTGATAATTTACTCACTCTCTACTTGTTTGTATACTGTCCTTAACAGGGCCGGCGCGTCCATAGAGGCGACCTAGGCAACCGCCTAGGGCGTCAGAATAGAGAGGGCGGCGTCCGTGACTCTACCCTCACTACCCGCGGCCTCAGTTATATCTGCGTCTAGGACGGCAGAATAGAGAGGGCGGCGTTCACGACACTATCCTCACCACCCGCACCCTCAGTCATATATCCGCGTCTAGTGCGGTAAAATAGAGAGGGCGGCGTCCACGACACTATCCTCACCACCCACACCCTCAGTTATTTCCGCGTCTAGTGCGGTAGAATAGAGAGGGCGGCGTCAACGACACTATCCTCACCATTCGCGCCCTCAGTTATATTCGTGTCTAGGGCAGCGGAACAGAGAGGGCGGCGTCAACGACACTATCCTCACCATTCGCGCCCTCAGTTATATTCGTGTCTAGGGCAGCGGAACAGAGAGGGCGGCGTCAACGACACTATCCTCACCATTCGCGCCCTCAGTTATATTCGTGTCTAGGGCAGCGGAACAGAGAACCTTTTTTTTTTTCAGCGGAACCTTTTTTTTTTTTTTTTTTTTATTTTAAGGTTGAGAGTGGCGTGACCTTCCTTTACCTAGAGCGGCAGTTCAACTTGCTCTGGCCCTGGTCCTTAACCTTCTGCTTAAACAGGAGACGAGATTCTGAATGTTGGAAACCAGTAGTCACTGGTTATAATGTGTAATATTTTGTTTTGTGTTTACATCATTACGATGTATTATGTAAGATGTATTATGTAAGAAACTTCAATGAATATTGAATTTTTCGCAGTGTATACATTGTTTTACGGGGTGTATTATTGTGTGCCATCATTTGTCATTACCAGAGAGCCTCCAGTAAAATCTGTCTCAACAAACGCTTAGCTAAACGCACATTCTGTCAAACAGTGCTGATCTTTACCAAGAAATTTCAGGCAACAGATGGCAGGGCTGATATACAGTAGGGTCAGTACATGAAACTGTCAAAATGAATCATTACCATCACCAGAAGTATACCAAAAAAAATGAATGGCATGCCATACCTTATAAGGATACCTAGAGTCCATTATTAGTGCTGAACAAAAATTTATCACAACTAAAGTTGGTTGACAAACTTTATGGTGTCCTGCGAAAGCCTCCTCTGTAAGATTGAAGTAGTTTTAAAGCTTAAATAATTGAAGTCGTTTTTAAGAAGTTTGAAACAGTCATAACTACATACAGGTTGATGCAGTTGATAGCGTTCTGTGTGGTAGCTAAGGTGTTGCTAAGTGGTTGCTAATAATCACAATTATTCTTTGCCTATTATTATATTATATATACTATTTACGTTTTAAAATGTCTGAATATATTTAACATGGTGTGTGTGTGTGCGTGCGCGCTTGTGTGTACATGTGTTTGTGTCTGTCTGCGTGCGTGCGTTTGTGTGTGTGTGTGTGTGTGTTTAAATAAAGTAATGTGCTGAATGTCAAAATGACTGTAATTTTAGGTCTGAATGAATGTACAACATTGAAGTACTTCACCACAAACCCATGAATACTTCAATGCCATTAGAGCTAACTGTTTTTCTATATGAAGTTTAGCTCGTAACATCATCATTTACCATCCCTGACATGTTTTGACGTGCTGCAGGTGTCCTCTCATAACATCTCCAGGCGCAATACATGAAATATGGCAGGAATTATGTCTTGTATGTCAGCACTGTCGGCAGTGAAGGTGCTTGTGTTCATTTACTCTGGAATGTGGAAGGTTATATGTATTGCTTATAAACATCCCCTTTTCTATTGTGTAATACTGTCTAGTTTTATATAATTCAAGGGCTGCATCCTTCAGTTTAATATAGCAGATGCATCAGATGTGCTTCAGCTTTTATTTATTGACATTGAAGTTCAAAAAATCCTTCTAGTTTATTCCCCTCAGATGTTCGTGGTCAATCTGGAGCAGCTAGAGGTGTCGGGTCGAGCCGTGAGCAATCTGTCGGACCCTTCTGTGGAGAAATATCCCCAGCCAAAGCAATGATGAAACCCCCCTGCAAACCGTATTGTAGGCACACATAACCTTTTTGCAACACTGCGCAACCCCTTCAACATGGGTTTAAGGTGATAGTTTGCATAAAAATGAAAATATGCTGTTAAATCACTTACCCCCAGGCCATCCAAGATGGAAGTCACATAGTAGAAAGTTTTTTTTTTTTTGGTATTTGTGATTCATAAAACACATGTAATCACTTTTAGAGTCAAAAATATATACAGGCAAATTAAAATGAATACCTGTGGTAGACTTACAGTTGAAAACAAAGCGATTAGACCTCAAATATTTCCCAAGTGATGTTTAAGAGAGAACAAGTACAATTTTCATAGTATTTCCTGATATATTTTTCCTCTGGAGCAAGTCTTATTTATTCTAGTTTGACTTGAATTATATTATTATTATTTTTAAAACTGCTAAGGTCAATATTAGTGGCCCCTTATAGGTAGAGAGATCTGGAAAATGCTAACTTTAGTCTTTTAGCATTAAAATGCAAATCCCTAAATGCAAACTGCCATCCAAAGTCATGAACGTGCACATGATAGACAACCATAGACAACGTAACACTACATCATGAGCCAGAAGAAATCTGTGGACATTTTTTGCTATTTCTACCCAGAATTTTGTTAAAAATCTTCGGATTTATACGGAATGATATTAGGTGTATCATAACTAAAATCTTAATATATAAAATAAAAAGTAATACCTATATAACATCTACTTAATGTTTACAATGCAAATCCATCTAGATCTACTTTATTTGGTAAAAAAAAGCAAGTCTCTAATATAATATATCTACTAAAAGACAGAAAATATAACTGTACAAACTGTATTGTAAATAAATCATATGAATTGAAAAACGGAATACATGTAAATTTACACACAATTAACTAAATAAACAGAATCAATGATGGGCTAAACTCTGCGGAATTCTGTGCATGCAGATTCCATGTGGGACTAATCATGAGTCATTCTACACTCGAAAAATTTCTCTTAAAAACTTACTTAAAAAAATCTTTGTAACAATTTGCACATAAACATTTCAAGTAAATTTGACATTCTTATATCAAATACATTTAACTTGTCCATATCATGTAAAATTTACTTAATGTTTAATCTAACAGTCCTAAATTAACGAAGTAAAAGTTAATTGAGAATCTTTCATTTTGAGTCTATATTTATTCAAATAAATCAAGTAATGTCAAGTTCATGTTTTAGCAAAAGGTTCACGGCTTTGTTATAATTTAAATAAATCTTATTGGTTACAGATTAGTACATCTGGTATAACTTGTTTAATTAAAACACACATTTCCACTGACTGAAATTTATGAAAGAGACTTTCAAATAGCACAACAAAAAATGTTTCTGAAGACAATCACCTGTTGCACCTTTTAAGGGGTGGTCCAGAGTGTATTTTTAAGGCTTGGTTGTGTTTATGGTGTGCAAAGCAATGTGTCCTCATGCTTCAATCACGTTAATTTTTATAAATCTTACTTTGATTATATACTTCTACTGAGCTACCATGAAAACGACTGTCATATTTCCTAGTTCCTCTAAAAGCCCGCTCTCAAAAGGCTCTGATTGGTTACTTTTTATAATGTGCTTTGATTTGCGGATCGGCTCCACGTCACCTGGAAGTTACACATCCAGTCATGCCTCTACTAGCATGTGCTTTCCCTTTGCTGTGTAAATACTGTCAGTCAGTATAGCTGTTAGCTGTATCAGCTTGAGCCTGAATTAGACATAAAACGAAGAGGATACGGCTGAACCTCAAGCCTGATTTCTAAAATAAAATCTGTCAAGTGTCTTTCATATATATTTGGGCTATAAGCATGTGTAAATAGTTTGAAACGTTCACACATCTATTGTGAGTTTGTTTTTTGAGATGTAGAAAGCACAGAAAGCGGCCGCATAGAGAGACACTGCAGCGCTGGTAAAGATTGTGGCTGGATAAATATTAATGGATAAATATGAATTTGTAGCTTAATTGTTAATGGTGCGAAACCTCTTTTCCCGTTGTTTACATCCGTGTTTACGTTCTTGATACAACACACCGTTAAGGCAAGGCAAGGCAAGTTTATTTATATAGCACATTTCATACACAGTGGCAATTCAAAGTGCTTTACATAAACAGGAATAAAAAAGACAAGTTTAAGACATAAAATGCAGACAATAAAAATGATTAAAAACTGATAAAAACAATTTAAAATGTGTTAAAATAGGTTATAAAAGAATGAAAAAGAAAAAGAAAAACATAATAGTGCAATCTGTCGGACGTAGCACAGTGCGTTAACGCTAAAATCTGTGCATGTAATAAATAGAATTGAACAAATAAAAATACTTACAGGTTGTGGCTCACAATCCACAGCTTCTTCCATTATGGTTGAAGCTGCTCCTTCTTTGAGGAGTTTTTTAGCTGAATCCGGCACTGAACTGGGAGAGATCCTGGAAGCTGTCCTTTGTCAAATGGTAGCTATATATTTTTTATACTAAAACATCTTTTTGAAAGCCCAAATACAGAAATGGCAGAAGCTCTGTGGAAATAGCAGCTCTTGGACAACATTTTAGCTTTCTCTGCTATATTACAGCACCTCTGGCTACGCCCCTACGCTGTGTGGGTTGTATGCGCGTTACCTGTTGGGTTTATGATCTCATTAACCCACATGTATTTTTTTGTAGTCCCCAAACTTTGTTTGCTGTTGGTTTTAAGCTAACTCTATAAAAGCCAATGTCTCTCTTTGCATTGAATTTTGAGCGTCTTACATTCAGAGATGTTTTTTTAATGTTCACACAGCTACATTACACATCAACTAATATATAAAATATGATATCGTAGTGAACCTTTAAGTTTTCTTTTGTTTGTTTTGGGGTTTTTTTTGATTGGCTACAGGACAAATTACTTCAGTCCAGTGAGATTTCTAATCAACCTTGCTTTAACCTAATCTAGCTTAACGTTTAAATTGCACTTTAAGCTGAAAACTACTATACTAGTATAAAGTATTATGAAGTATTAATTATTATCAATGGTAATATTAATTTTTCATACTATTAATTCAAGTATTAAACAGTATGAACTGCTATTATTTTTAAAAATGTGTTAAAAACACATTCTCTCCGTTAAACAACACATGGGAACTATTTGAAACGGAATTAAAATTTCACTGGAGAGCTGATTATTTTGCCTTCAACTGTAAATTTTTTGAATCCTAAAGCAGTATGGTTTTTGTAAATATTTTCTTGTCATGTATCTCTGATGGCCTGAGAGTGTGGAAAATAACAGCCGATTTTACATTTTTGTGCGAACAATCTCTTGAATAATGCACTATAGGAGTCAGCAGAAGACTCCTTTTCAAAAAAGTGTAACAACAGCAGCAGTATTACAATCGACTGGATGGATTAACAATTCCTGCATGCATTTCTGCATCTACTGTGACAGCAATGCAAAGCAACAGCGAGCGCACGAGATGTTCTGACTGTGAGGGGCTTCCCCCACCTTACACATGCTGCACGTGAGCTGAAGGCAAAGCTCTGGTTGCGTAATAACCGTAGGAGGAGCTTTTTTCTTCAGAATGGTACCTTATAATTTATTAGGAGCAACGGAGAAAGCCTGGTTTTTCTTTGAAAGCATGATGGCAATTCAGCACTTGGCAAGAGATATATTTTTTTGGTTGTGTGTCATGATTTGAAACATAATGCATGGAAGTGTTACTTCCTTGAAATGATTGCTCAATTTATTTTATTTTTTAGCTGCGTGATTTTGTGTGCCTGTATATCTTATATCTCATATATATCTCATATATTTTATGATGATCAGCACAATTTGTGTTAAATTAAAGTAGTAGGTTGTATAATTCACCACTCTGTAATTATATGGTTCTATCTTTATTCTCAGTGGTATTGAGATACTAGATTTTGCATTCCATATAGCACTTATGATATGGTGATCAGGTTTTATTAATGCAAAGTATTGCACAAAGTAATGCAAGTACTTGCACAAAAAAAAAAAAAAAATATATATATATATATATATATATATATATATATAATTCCAAGCTGACAGTTTGGTAATGGAAACATTTTACATTATTCAGATTCTTTAATAATTATGAGTGGTTTTTGTTTGATAATTGGCAATACATTGTGCATCTGGGGAACTTCTGTAGCTTGAAAAAACAGATTTGTTTTATGTTTTTTGTATCCTTTTTTAATATAAAAAATTTTGTTTAATGTTTTATTTTGTGTGTTTTATGTCTATTTCTTTGGATTCACAATTCACGGTTATGTATTTAAGTCAAAAGTCATTTGTTTGATTCTGTCAACTTTTTTCCAATAATGTTTTTTCCAAATTTAAATTAAATGTTTTTTTAGCTTCAAAATTAGCACAACAAAAAAAAAAATAATATATATATATATAGAGAGAGAGAGAGAGAGAGAGAGAGAGAGAGAGAGAGAGAGAGTCAGAATTATTAGCCCCCCTTTGATTATTATTTTTTTTTTAATATATTTTCCAAATGTTTAACTGAGCAAGAAAATTATCACAGCATGTCTGACAATATTTTTTCTTCTTGAGAAAGTCTTATTTGTTTTATTTCGGCTTAAATAAAAGCAGTTTTTAATTTTTAAACACCATTTTAGGGACAAAATTATTAGCCCCTTTAAGCTATTTTTTTCCGACAATCTACAGAACAAACCATCGTTATACAACAACTTGCCTAATTACCCTAACCTGCCTGGTTAACTTAATTAACTTAGTTAAGCCTTCAAATGTCACTTTAAGCTGTATAGAAGTGTCCTGAAAAATATCTAGTAAAATCTTATTTACTGTCATCATGAGAAAGATAAAATAAATCAGTTACTAGAAATGAGTTATTAAAACTATTATGTTTAGAATTGTGTTTAAAAAAAAATCTTCTTTCTGTTAAAAAAAATAAATAATTCAGGGGGCTAATAATTCTGACTTCAACTGTGTGTGTGTGTGTGTGTGTGTGTGTGTGTGTGTGTGTGTGTGCGCCTTTATAGAATGACAATCACATACAGTAGCAACACATTTTTCTCAGACCCATTTAACTTATAAATATTGAGTCTTATTTTTTCCCATATACAGTGCTCAGCATATGTAAGTACACCACTCACATTTCTATCTTTTAAATTCATATTTTAAGATGAAGCTCTACAATAGTATATTTGTGCATATACATTAGATTTGTCAGTACTGAAGCCAAAAATTATCTACCAAAATAACTTACAAAAATGGTCCACAATTAGTACAGCCACATTTATATGTTATAGAAAAATATTAAATACTAATTAAAATGAGGAAAAATCAAGAAAAGCTAAAAATTTTGTTAAGATTTTGTAGGTTGTAATTTATTTTTGCATTATTTTTCTTGAGTTCAATTGTATTATCTTTCAATTACTTAATATGTTTGGCGACTAAATATTATTTTAATAAATATACATGTTTAATAAATCTGTTTTGTTTAAATGCACCAAAATACATTGCCTATATTCACTGAGAAATGGATCAAAATATTCATTTTCAAAACGGGGTGGACTCAGCACTGGATATATTTTATTAATGAATTATTGCAAACGTTTTTTACTGATAGACTTACAGTAGGTAACCTTGAAGTACAAACAAAAAGCACAAACATAAAAGCAGATTTCAATATTTCCTTAATTATAAATGCTTCAAAGAACTGCATTTAAGTAAATGCCCAAATAAAAAAGTTTATATGTGTTCAATAAATATATTTTAATGCACATAAAATGCAACCTTATGAGATCAAAAATAAGTGCACGACTACTACTAACTACTGTTACTGAGCACATCGATAAGCATGGAAGCTGCACAAAGCTGATGGTTTAATATCTCGTCCACTGTCTCGCGGTGTTTTAGCGAGAGCTGCAGCAACTGCTAGCAAATTCAAAAGTGTCCTCGTCGCTGTGGTGCCGTTTAAAAGGGTGGGGTTGCTGAACAGGCTCCGATTGCGCCTGCTCGGTGTGTAGTCTGGGGGTGTGTGCTGCCCCGATGGTTTAAATCCTACACATGCGTACTGGATTTTCGGGGTTCAAGGGAATACGCACGCCATATTGGAAACACTGTATAGTTTAGCTAACAGTTTATAGCTAGCGGGGAAAAAGGGCCACTAATTGATTCCCGTTGGTCTGTTGTGGTGTTCGGCACGTCGACATTTTCCCTGTCGTTTCGCGTAGCCCCATTTACAGGCACGTCCTCGCGGCCCGGACTCAAACTTATCCGCGGAGCGAAGGAGGGGGAAAAGGCGTTCGTTTGTTTGACAGGGTTAAAAAGACGAGTTGAATGGATCCGAGGGTCGCTTGGATTCAGCCGGAACAGAAAGGTCCTGCGAACGCTTTATGGATGCGTGTGTGGGAAACGTCTCAGGTAAACCGGACTAACACAGGTCAGCACCAGAACCACCATCACCACCACCACAACTTCTGTGTCAATTCTCCGGCGTTTGACGTTTATAAGACTGTGGCGTCCAATGCAAACAACAGCACTAACATCAAAAACAACGGCACTGCGATCCCGGGCAGCGGCTCCGCGGTTCTCGCATTAAATGGGAACGCGGTAGACGGAGAAATGTCCCAAAAGACCGGCGGCTCGGTGGTGGATTCAGCGTCCAGCTGCACTAGAATAAGGACTACAAGCCCTAATGTGATCGCTGGGAATATGAATAAGGGCCAGCCGTTTTTTACTTTAAACGAGAGCGTACTGAATAATGTCAACCACCATCATCACCCTCCTCATCCTCATCTACGGCATTTCCATCAAGAGCAGCAGAGTTGCATGAAGCGCCACCCGTCCTATCCGACGGCGATTCACAACCACCATCACCACCACCATCACCCAGGCCGAAGGAAAAGCGACAATAAGGCCAGCACCTACGGGATAAACTACTTGCTTTCCAACTGGACTAACGGCAATTATGAGAGCTCCGGCACGCCGTGGAAGACGAGGAAATATAGCCCAGGGGTTGACGGGTGAGATGAGTTTGATTTATAACCGCGGCGGCGTTCGCTCGCTTGGCTCTGGATGAGGCGTTAAAATGATACACTGATTTTTCTCTTTTTTTGGTGTGTCGTAAAGTGTCACTGGGCCTTTTTGACGTCCTGGGCTGGGACTTTAGCTTTAGCATGTTAGCCGGTATGTTCTGGGTTCGGGTCGGGGCCGCTGCGGTGTTTGGGTTGGGTTACTTGTGGTATGTGTGTGTGCGTGAGGGATTAACAGTTTACGTTTAGCGGTGATGTCCAACTCTTCGAACCGCTCATTGACTCGGATCTTTTTTGGTGAATCGGTTAATCCGATCTGAGCGATTCAGACTCGAGAGAGTCACTTGAAGTGATTTGTTTTTTTGAGTCGACTCATTGATTCACTGAACTGAGAGTGGTGTATGAAAATATTTTTTAGGTTGCTTTATTATTTTTAAAAAAGTGCCGTACGTGTACTGAAAAAGTACGGTTGCATGCTTGCAAAAATGGTTACAAGTTAATCTTTTCATTAAACACTGAACTGAACAAACCGTTCATGTCTTGCCAATTACAATAATGTTTATGGGCACCGTTACTAAAAGGCTAGATTATTTATTTTATTTGCTTTTAATATAGACATAGCAAACACAAAGTTGTATGTGTAAGCGTGCACGATGCACAAAACATTTTATATATTATCACGGTTTTATGTGAAAGCTATGCTTGAGTAACCCAACCAAAAGATTAAAGTATAACACATGAAATATAGGCTAATATATTTTAATATTTAGAGACTCCTCTCTAAAGGTCTTTCTCACTCAAAATATTGATACACTCATGGTTTGAATTTACTGGTCAGGTGTTATCAAAAGTAACATATACAAAGCTTCTTGAAGCTTTTGCTGACACAGTGTGTTCAGTTATGTCAAGTTTTTCAATAGAATGACATTGAAAGATTCACCATGAAGTTTAATGTAGATAGATAGATAGATGGATAGATATGTATACAGTATATGAAGCTAAGTTTAACATGTGCAGTTAAAACCACAATGTATTTGTTTGGCATACAAATCAATTGACCCATACTAAAAAGTGTTATGAATGTGTAACATTATGTTGATAGTACTTTGCTATTTCTGAAATTAAACTTATGATGGAAAGAAATGTTACACAGTGCAACCGCCAATAAGTTGACTCTTTAAACCTTTCAAAAGAAAAAGCTGCTCTGAGCTCATAGGTTAATCAGTGTTGCAACATTATTTCAGTATAGAGTGTGGTGGATAAATGACTTTGCCCTTGGTTTTGTGGATAAGTCTCTATTTACTAGACATCATACAGCAACAGTCAGCTTTCAGGAATAAAAGTTTTATTAATACTCACTTGACAACCAAAAGCAATTAATGACAAACTTTTAAAATCAAACTGTTTAATCAATAGTTTTAAGCCTTTGCTGAACCCATCTGTTCATTTTTTTATTACATTTTCTTGTTTCATCATAAAATGCATTCACAAAATCTACCCATAATGTTGTAAAGTAAATAACTCTAGTGATCAGTCTTAAGCAATGCCTGCCAAAGGATATCTTTAGTGTACGAATTTTTATTTTGCAATAATGTTATTTAAATTTTATTTCTATTGCTTTAACCAGCACCTATAATTAAAAGTTGTATGGGCTATAGTATAAATAGTCTGTCATTTTCAGTGTGCAATGCAATTCTTTCCTATAGTAAAGCCATAAATTGCCCAGTCTTGTTCTTTTTGTCAGATTTTTCAAATACTTTTTCTGCTTCAAATCAAAGTTTTAGATGGGTGCTTGTCATTTACCTTGTAGCTGGTTGTTTTGATTTATGGTTTATAGTTCTTTTTATCAAATTAAAAATAAAGAAATTTAATACAAAACCAAGAGGAATTAAAAAGTGAATGTGGCCTCCTGTTCACTCTGTATGCCAGGGGTGACCAATCCTGTTCCTGGAGATCAACCTTCCTGCAGATTTCAGTTGCAACCTTTATCAAACACACCTGTCTGTAATTATCAAGTGGATTTCAGATCCTAATTAATTGGTTCCGATGGGTTTGATCAGGGTAGGAGCTAAACTGTACAGGAAGGTAGATCTCCAGGAACAGGATTGAGCACCCCTGCTGTATGCTACAGCAGGATATCTGCGACCATCTGATGATGCAGTTGATCGCTAAAATCTTACATTTGAATTTTTTTAGAAAACAATTTATTCTTCTCAACCACACATTTCCAGTTGTGTTATTTACAAATACAACAAATGACTTGTTTGCTTGCAAGTCTGACACGAGTGCTTCTAACTTTTTAGTTGCATTTTGTTTATGTCTTAGTTTTAACGGTTATTTGTGTTGCTAGTGTTTTATGATTAATGAATGTAACCTCAGACACTTGAAGTAATGCATGTTTGAGCTCTTAGTAACCGTGCGATTATAGGCTTGTAAGAAATCTGTTGCATGGACTTGTTATATTTGTGGTGGATGCTTGCAGACCTCTGGAATTTTTCCACGAAAGAATCTGGAAACAAATAACAGCATGACTGTCAATGGCCGGTCTAGATAGCATTTCTGTGTTTTTAGCTCTTAAATGTTTAACCTTGTCAATCCTGAAAAATGAAATGTGTTTTTATCTATTGGGTATTAAGGATTGTGTACAAATTGAGCAAGGTCTGAATGCAGGTTTGCTAAAAAAAAATAACACATTAAGGCTAGTGGATAATATTTTTCTAATTAATTTCTTAGCTGTATAGCTGAAGTTTGTACAGGTTTTAATAGGATATTTATTTTTAGTCTTTGAAACACAAGATTCTAACAATTTCTTAGGTTCTTTGTGATTAATGTGGTTCTGAAATAATACCAACTGCCTCTCAATTTTCTTTTTTTCACCCAAGGTTACATGAAGAAATCATGGACTTTTACAATTTCATGTCTCCTCGTCCTGAAGAGGCCACCATGAGACAGGAGGTCGTGGACAGGATAGAGTCTGTCATCAAGGAGTTGTGGCCAACCGCTGATGTAAGCAATTTTTTAAGAGCTGAGGTACATGAATAATTGGGCTCTTAGCATTGTAAATTAGTCAAATGTGTCTTTCACTTTTGTCTACTTAGGTTCAGATTTTTGGCAGCTTTAGCACTGGACTCTTTCTCCCAACCAGGTAAATGAACATGTGAAGCTTTTGTGTTTGATCTTACTCAATGGAGACAACAGAGAGTTGAACAGAACTTTTAGTTGTTCTCAAATACAAATAAAGTTTTTCTTATGATTTGTTTCAGCTGTACAGTCCTAACATTTCATGACAAAATAACTAGCAGAAGGGGATCTGTACATGTTCTTCAAAAAAAAAAAAAAAAAAGCTAGCATGCTATGATTGTGCTTATGAAGAAGTAGAAGAACTGAATTACATTTTTTATTTTTTTTACACTAGAACTTTTAAGATGGTTTTAATTTTTGCAATTTAATAACTTAAAAAAAAAACATCTACAATACCCTGACTTTTCCTACATATATGTATTATTCTTTCTAACGTTGTTATGAAAATCACTAAACGCAAGAGCTAGGAGTTATTCTACCATTAATTACCATTTTTGTCAAAATTATCGCGTTTATTTTAGTGTCTGTTACTTTATTCATGACCGTAAAGATGTGTGCCTTTGATGCCTAGCAACTTCCTGGTAACAAATACATAACTTTGTTGGCAAAAACATAAATTCAGATATATAATTTATATCAAATGACATATTCAGTGCTGCAATTAAAAAGCCTTCTCCCTGCACGTGAAAGTGAAAATGAAAGTTAGATACAGATATTCATGGGTTATTTAGTAGTAGGGTTTTCACAATACTGGAATTCAATATCAATTGGTACTGAAATTTTGAAAACGTCCATTTCCCGTGAATATTTGAGCGCTGTGGAGCATGTTCGCTGATTTGCCATTGTGTTCACGTGGTCAACAGAACTGACTGATTGGCTGTGAAGGACATTGGTTCACCGAATTCACTGCTGTTTACTGTGTAACCACAGATACAGGGAGACTGTAGCATTTCAAAGTCCTGTTCATCAGCTGGTTTGCCTTTACACTGAAATATGAGCGATCTGCTGATCTGCTGCTTTAAAATGCTCCAGTGTCCCTGTATCTGTAGTTACAAGCAGTAAACAGCGGTGAGTTGAGTGAATCAATGACCCACAGGACCAATCATAGTCATTTCTGTTGAGCACTTGAACACAATGTTAAATCAGTGCTGTTTAAGCATGTGCTCCACAGCACTCAAATGTTTGTGGGAATATGACGTTTTTAAAATTTCGCTACTGATTGGTATCGAATTCCAGTATCGTGACAACCCTATCAATAACCCCAACTTTACATTTTTAGGCTGTATTACCAAAAAGATTATATTTTTAGGGTGATGACTTATTTTAATGTGATGACAGACATTCAAAACTTAATTTTAATATCTCAGTAGATGCTTTCAATGTGGATAAGTTGTGACATTATGACTTGTTCGACAATGATCAGAATGGCCGTTATGGTAATTCTAGTAGTTATAGACTTCTGGTAGCTCAAGTATTCCATCAATACTCAGTGAGCATTTGTGCATGTGTGGGGGAAAAAGTTATTTACAGTATCTTGTAAATAAATGGGGTTATTTGAATAGCTTATATTCATAAAGTCAGCCTGACCATCAGGAATTTGCTTAAAATGATTTTTTTTCACTTATTTTTTTTACAATATCACATTGGTTATAGTGCTGTGGATGTAACTGGCAAAATTGAGTATTTTTGGTACCTGTTTTTGCAGACTAGAATAAAAGCAGTAAAACATAATATATAGATCATATTTTGCACTGCAACATGACCATTTGTGCATTACTATATATAAGATGTGTATATTTATTTATGTATTTGAAAACCATTTTAAAACTCCACTATAATTTGTATAATGCTTCATGTGCCCTGATTAAATCAGTCGCTAAAGCCTAAAAGGTTTTCTCATGTCTGAGAAAACATTAGTAAGATTTGTGTGAAGGCTACAGATTTTGCTCATTTCTCTGCTCGATTTTGCAACTATATGCAATTCTCTAATTCCACTGTACCTTTATGCTTGCACAATGTTGTTTTAGCAAATGATCTAAACCGCAGTTGCAATAGGTTTTTATGTTGAGCTATATAAAAGGCGTCTGGCTGATTCTTTACACTGTAGTGACATTGACCTGGTGGTGTTTGGGAAATGGGAGAAACCTCCCCTGCAGCAGTTGGAGCAGGCTCTCAGAAAACACAGTGTGGCTGAGCCCTATTCCATCAAAGTCCTCGACAAAGCTACGGTATGTTCTTTCTTATACTGTTCATTTATCAGATTAACACATTGTAACTTATTTGTGTGGAGGTGTTTTTTTTTCTGAAATTTTTCTGGGTACGTTTGTATTATTTTTAGCTCTTTGGGGATTTTCTTATCAATTAAATGTTTGAATTTTGCAGGTACCAATCATCAAACTGACAGATCAGGAGACTGAGGTGAAGGTGGACATCAGTTTCAATGTGGAGACGGGCATCAAAGCTGCTAGCTTCATCAAAGAATATGTGAAGGTAAAAAGTACTTTGTACATGTGTCTGTTAAGGTTTTTAAAAAAGTAAATGGGGGAGTGCATCTGAATACTGCTTGTTGCTTTTTTTTTTAATTGGAAGCCGTGTTAATTGCATTTAGTTTAGGCAATATATTGGTTTTAAACCTATTTAATTTTCTTTTTTTTTCTGTTGAACCAAGATGAAATGTTTTGAAACTGTTAATCATCAAATTTATTAGGAAAATATTTTAGAGATTAATGCTACCAGCTTTTTTTGTATATATAAAATTTTCATAGCATAGTTAATGCATCAACTCGGCACTTTCATGTCATATTGAATCATTTAAGATCATTTAATTTTCACAAATGATGGCATATGTGTTTTGTCTACGGTTAACAAAAATGAATGCTAATTTCAAACTGTAATGGGTATTCACAGTAAAAATGACACTTTCTGACATTGACTAATGATTGACTTGTTGACATTTTATGTGAATAGCTTAAAAATCTCATATATATCAGGGCTCAAATTAACATTTTTGCTTGGTAGCACCGGTGCTCCTAACTTTTAAAATTTAGTTGCACCAGCCAAAATTTAGTCGCACCCACCAATTATGTGCAACATTACTACAAGTTTTATATTAACATATTTTTTTGCATTTAAAAATCAACACTAAGGACAACTAACCCAAAAAAAAAGTGCATGCGCCCACCGACCCTACACGCACTACTTGACATGAATGAACCTTAGTTAATGATAATAACTGTGTGTTCTCATGGGTGATGTCTGGTATTGCACAGATGTTATTGACATAACTTTATTATTTGCAGACGTCATCTTAATAGCAATACCGGTCTTTTTGTGACCCTTTTGCGAGGATGTATGCGGTTACATTTTACACATAGCTGCCACTTGCATGACTGACAGCATCCTGACAATTAAATGAATGATTAAACAGAGCCTCTCATGCATAATTTTTGTAGATTTAGCCGCAAACAATGTTACCAACTCCATCACTCAAGATTTCATGGTGAATGCTATAATAATTTCTATTCGAAAAGTAGGGTTGGGTACCGAAACCTGGCGCCATTATGGCACTGATACCTTTGGAACCGGTATGCACCGGATCAAATCAGCATATGAATTTCGGTGCCTAATTTCGGTGCTGCAACAAAAAAGCAGGTCTCGGCACTGGAAGCGCAGCGCCATGCATTTTACAATTCGCCAGTCAGCGGTTGTTCGCAGCGCCCAGCCACGACTCATGACTGTTCATATTTCTGCCATGGTACAGAGCGTCATCTGAATAGTTTCATTTTAAATAACATGCGAATGTGCACGTCTGGTGTGTGATACTATTAACTCATGGACGTGACGTGCCGCGGCTCTAAGTGGCGCATTTGCTGTGTGACGCCCTTAAGAAGCATAAAGGGGTTCTTTAAAGGCACACAAGTAAGCGTTGTCGCACTATCTCTAAATATTTCATTCTAAACTGCTTTGAGGGATACGGATGTCAGCGATGTCAGGTGTTTGTTCTTGTAGTTTATAGAAGGCAAAGTGTGCAGTACGGTGCATGCGGTGAGCGGCTCACTTAACACACATGATCGCGTTCATCTAATTTGCTTAAACTAAGCATTCTAAAGTATGGCTATATTTTACAACCAAGGATTCTGTTACACCAACATGCAGCAGATGTTTTACAAAAGTTGCGTGTAAGGGAGAAACACATCAAACTCATGACATTGAAATTTGAGGGCTCATAGAATCAACTTAAAGGTGAGGAATGCGCTGTCTTTAACAGCTTATGACATCATCTGGCACATTATCTGAGTACGTTTACATAAACACCAATTGTCTAATTTTAATATGATTAAGATCTGATCACAAGTCTACTACGTAAACATTGATTTTTGATTATTTTAAAGAACCACAGGCAAAAACTGCAGAGGAAACATTTATAGGCTGGTGAAGCAATGACATTAATGGATCTATGTGCTATAATGTGTAATTGGGAATCATGAATGTAACATTCAAAAAGCAGCTCATGTAAACACCTGAATCATATTATTGTCTTATTCAGATTATAGCAAACCATTAGATCACTGATGTCCATGTAATAGTAGTCACAAGCCCCAAACCCAGAAAAAAGGTGTTCCCTGATTTTGATAATAGCTTTTACACAGGTTAGTAGTAAGCTAATGTAATGTTAATAGCATAATGCAAATCTTGCATTTATGCTAACAAACAAAGGATCAAAAGAAAAATATTAATGCAATTCAAATATATAAAATATGAACTAATCTTTACTTTAAACTTATTACAAATATATATTTATAATAAGTTTAATTTATATTGCTCAATTATAATGATTTTTTATATTATATATATATATATATATATATATATATATATATATATATATATATATATATATATATATATATATATATATATATATATAATTTTGTCGGTCTAGGCACCGGTACTGTTTTAAAATTATCGATTTAGCACTGAAAACCCAAACGATACCCAACCCTATCGAAAAATGTCGACCGTGGATTAAAATTCACCACATGATCACTTATCAGATGTGCCATTATTTGTAACTTTAGGAAGTTACTAAAACAAAATCTATCAGTGTCGTTTCAATTCTCTTATCTTCAGCGCTTCACGTTTTAGCAGTTGTCGCTCCCTGTCATCAGAATGCATTAAGGGATTTACAGCTGATAATAACCAATCCATACTTATTCAGTTTTAGCACAGTGGGCCAATCAGAAGAGCTTGAAGGCGGGGCAAGCATTGCAGGCTTTGTTTACTGCAGCAAGTTGACATGATGCCCGTTTTAAACTTTTTTTTTTTTTCTGAGCGATGCGTTTCGCATTTCAGGCAAAAATGAAATCTGCGTGAATGTCTTAAATCCGTGCACAAGGTGAACATTTTGCCATGAAAACTGGTCGCACGTCAACAATTTTTGCACTCGCAAAATGCTTCCAAATATATTTTTAGGTCGCATAGATAAAATTTCAGCGACCAAAATGGTTGCAGTTTCGAGTCCTGTATATACACAATAGCAGTTAAGACCACCATTGACCAATACCTAACATGCTATTCTTAAGTTTAGTTTTACCTACTTGAAGGTTTTGTTGAAACCCTGCCTCTGCCTTCATTTTATTGGTGACCGATGTAACGCCCGTTTCATCAGTTTACTTTTTATTTTTTTCAGCTGCAAGCACACAGCGTGCAACAGCAAAAATGTGAGGCGCAGCAGGTGGTTAAATGCAAGCTGCAAAGGACGCATAAGCAGCATGCAAAACCTCTTGCAGCCATTAGTGAATCTTTCAAAAAAGGCGCCTCAGCACAAAAAGCGTGTTCTGCAAAGTAATTTTATTTAGACTTCTTTGGAAACACTCTTGTCTTTAGCTTATATTTCAAAGACAACAAATTTGTGATGGTCTTGATTTTGAGGAAGGAGGTTTTGGACGTCACTTGTATTTACATGTTCTGGCAATCCTAGGTTTGCTCAATGTTTGCTAATTTGATGTCAGGCTTATGGTGTCAGTGTTTGACTAAAGGGAGGAGGAGGCTGAAGCATGACTTCACATCTGTCAGCAGGCTTTAACTGCAGATGTTTGAATAAGGAGATGACCTGCTGGCGTTCAGCTCTTCTGCCAAGCTCATTTCCATGTGCATACCTGCTGTAGTCCTCTAACACTAGATCACCTTCATCTCTCATCTGTGCCGCCATCAGAGCCCTCGTTTCTTTAGTTCAGTGTGCAGTCTGAAGTACAGACATTGTCAAAAACAAACCAAGATTTGATTTACTACCTTTTATTTTATAATTTTTTTTTTTTTAATGTTTTACATTTTCTTAACATTGGTTGTATATCTCTACATTTTTAATCAAACATTTTGACCGTCATGAGACCGGTTAGTTTTACCTTACTTATGTTGGACACCATCTTCCAGTGTTTTAGTATAGGGTTTATTTTTTTGCACTTTCTTCAGTGATACCTTTTATTAGACCTGTAATCATTAGTTTTTAAGAATGTTCTATATTTTCTTAACCATTATTTCAACATTTTTAATCAAACATTTAGACCATCGTAAAAAGTTAGTTTTTCCCCTACTGATGTTGGACGCAATCTTTGAAGTCCAATGTTTACTTTTTTTTTTTTGACGATACTTTTTATTTTAGACCTGTAATCGTTTGTTTTATATTTTCTTAACATTTATTTTACATTTTTACGCTTGATTTAAAACCATTTCGACCATCGTAAGAGGTTAGTTTTAGGCTACTGATGTTGAATGTCACACAATGCATGTTTGTGGAGAACTCAGACACCCTGAAGTTCTAAATAAAGGAAGAAATATGATCCTATATGACTGTACATTTCTGAGTAATAGAAAGTTGAAGTAGTCTTTTACATGTGGTCAATAATAATATAAATAAAGTATTTTTTTACTGAATTTACAGAACTGCAACTATATCATGATGTACATTGTTATCAGGATACCAGATGACTTATCGTGAGATGAGATTTGTCATATCATCCAACCCTACTCTTAACTTGATTTGTCTTTTTTTATTTATTTGTTCTGTCTAACACAATATTTGTATAACTGAAACATTGACATCCATACTTTTGAATTTGATGCTTTTATGTTTCCAACATTACCTTGTGCTCTGCAGAATAACAAGTAATTGTCTGGAACAAGTCAAGGGTAAAAAAATGGCAAAATTAACATTTTTGGGTAAACAACCCTTTAAATATGCTTTCAAATGCATACCGTGTGACTTGCAATGCTTTCACCAATTCAGACGCAATTGAATGATGATCCATACTGGAGTTATGTGTTCAAAACATTTAGAGATTATTGACTTTTGACTACTTACACATTTATTCAGATTTAACACTTGTGTGGTCGTAAGTTTGAATAAAAAAAAAAAAAGTGTTCTTGCTATGGGACTTGTTGTGAGACACTGGTCTGTTTTTCAGTTTCATATGCCAGGATCTTTATGGTTTTTCAGTTCGTCAGCAAGATCCAAGAATTCATCACAAAACTGTAATGACTTTGAAAACCTTTTTTGGTCAATGTAACTTAGAATAAAACCCTGCCCTCAGTTCACTATTGTGATGTACAGTGAAATCGTATATTATATTATAAGATAGTAAAATTTATTATAGTGTAGTAAAAGGAGTTTCTGATATAAGATAAAAATGTAAATAATTAATTTACAATGAAACTTTTGACCTGATTCTGCAATGTAAATGTGTGCTCTGTTTAGAACTTCTGATTCAGTTGCCTATAGGAGAAAATAATAGGAATAATACACCGAAGAAAACGTTCAAACTACCTGCTCTGCAAACATTTGTGATGATTACTATACAAAATAGAATTGAATAAAAGTGAATAAGACTAAAAGTTTCAAAACAAACAAAATTCAAATTGCTGCAGCCGCTTATATATGAAAAATTTGGTCAATAGTACAAAATATAATGGTACAATTGAATTTGAAATGCTCCATTTATTCAGATTATTTTAAAATGTATGCTAAATTTTTGTGGGAAAAGCTACAAATTGACATTTTTTAAATGAGTTCAAGTGGATTATTAGAGATCCAGCTTTCCATCCTGAGAATGCAGAATCTTCCCAGTAGCAATGAAACGCAACAGTGGCTGTGGTTTTTACATGGGGGAGGAATTTAAGATTTGTTGGCTTGTCCCCAGTTATCATAACACTTTACCTCATGTAAATATTTCTGCTGCTTCTGCACAGCTGGATGTTCTCTCCAGTGAAAGACAGCTGCGTATGCAATTCCCATGTTTTAGGCTTTTAAAGGAACGTTATGCACAGGACATTCCTGATATTCCTGACGTCAGTTGTAATGATAGTGTTTTCGTAAAATACCCTTTCATTAAAAAAAAGAAAATAAAAAAAATAACTGTGACTGAAATCTAACCAAAAGTGGTCAAACTGGACTTGCATTAGAGATGCCAGTTAATGTTTGGTGTAAACTGGGTCTTTTTGATGTACTAAAGTCTAACATATCTTCTCTATCTATATCTCTCTCTCTTTCATGCACACAGAAGTATACCGTGCTGCCTTATTTAATCTTTGTGCTGAAACAGTTCCTGCTGCAGCGTGACCTTAACGAAGTTTTTACAGGAGGAATCAGCTCCTATAGTCTCATCCTGATGGTCATCAGTTTCTTACAGGTAAACATTAGCTGCTTATTAAGATCTTTCCTTTGGTTTACTGTTATTTTTATGGAATAGTTATTGCGATTTTATAAAAAAAAAAAAATGTACCAATTTTCACCAGATAATTGTAACAACTAAGTATATTTATATTACAAAGTATAGGTTTAGAGACTTGCCAGAAAGGCTTTAAAAATACTTCTTACTCAAAGACTTTATGGCAAAAGTTTTTAGTCAGGGTACGAATTACAGGGGGGATTGACCCCACTAATTAAGGCTTGATCCCCATGAAGGGCGTCCAAACAAGATGTATGGAGGGGTCAGCCCTTTGAAACTGAGAAAATGTTTACTCTGATTTGTATTTTAAATAATAAAGTTACTAATAAAAATAATAGATATCCGTTTGTCCACTACTATAATGGTTCATATCTTTGTGAATGCATAATTGCACCAATCAGTCTATGCAAGAAAGTCATTCAACTGAAACCGGCAAATTTAGAGCACCAATAAACAGCGTAAGAGTTCACAAGGCTGTTTTCTCATAAAGTAGTTGTTTGTTTCCACATAAAGACTAAAAGTAAAGTAAAATTAAAGAGTTTGTATAGTTTGACCTAATGTAAACCGAATAGCTAGTCAGGTAAGAATACACTAAATAGCCTATCCAAAAAAAACACATTTGTATGTATTTATAATTCATTATAATTCATTTATTTATTAATAAATTAGATTTAATAAAACAAAAACCCACTGGATTCACTGAAGCATGTATTTCAAAAAATAACATTACCAAAAAAGTTGAGCCCCCTGATTGCAATGTATAATTCTTGCACTGTTTTTAGTGCCGAAATATTTAAGAAAAGCTTGACTTTAATATTATTTTACGAGATTGCAAAAAAGGAAATACAAGACTTTCTCCATATTTAATACATGTTTCTTGTAATTTCTTTGTAATTATTTGTGAAAGATTTTAGATTTAAATTATTTTCCTTCTAACTAAATATGTAAGAGAAAATTCTATGCAATTTTAGGCAAGTCAGTCAATTTCACAATTTATTTTGACGAAAGAAACAATCAGGTTTGTCTCAAACTTTGAGATTGTAGCTAAAAATTCTGAGAGATTTTCTTTTTTTATTGTGAGATATAAACTAACTTTTTTTTTGTTTCTCAGTTTATTATTTTTCATGTAATTCTAGTTTAGATTTCTCAAACAAACAAACTGCAAGACAGCCTCACAATTGAGTTTTTTGGTAGAAATAGTATAATTCAGAGAAAAGTCCTTATTCTTTTGTTTATTTTTTTTCCATATTCAAGTTTAATAGGTAATTTTTCCCCTCTTAAAATTATTTAAAAAAAATAATACATAGTAAATACACTTTAGTTTGTTACTGTAAAATTGCAGTGCTATTAATTGGCTAGGTTGAATATCAAAAAGTTAACTCGTCAATCTTTTGAAGTGTTGCCATTAATTAATGTAACTTGTAATGTAAAACATTAAGACGTGTAGAGAAGAACCAGATAGTTTTAAAAATAACTTCTCATCTCATTTAAAGATCTGTCATTACATGTCAAGCATATTTTACTACCCTTATTTGGCTGCATCAGCGGCGCTCATAAATGACTACAAAACAAATAAAGAGTCTCTGTTCTGTCTTGCCTGCTTTTTTATTATTAATCTTTTTCTTGCACCCACAGTTACACCCAAGAATTGATACTAGGAATCCTAACATGAACCTTGGTATTCTGCTCATCGAGTTCTTTGAGCTGTACGGAAGACACTTTAATTACCTGAAGACGGGCATCAGGATAAAGAATGGTGGCGCTTACATGGCTAAAGAAGACATCATGAAAGCCATGAGCAATGGCTACCGGCCCTCCATGCTGTGTATTGAGGACCCTCTTCTTCCAGGTACTTTTGTAGGAAGTAGAAAACCAGATAAATTTCTCAAACGTGATGACTTCTAAATTGAAATTCTAAAACCTAAAATGTCATTAAATTATTAAAGTTTTTTTTTTTGGAAGCACACTGAGATTTGTAATAGTGTTAGTTTGGTGCTAGCAGTATTCTAAGCATATGAATACTTGGCTAATCTTCTATAAGCACATGCAAGTTCTTGTCAACCAAAACAGCTTTTCAAAGTGATGAATCTACTACTGTCTTGGTAATAGCTGGTAGTTTATTATTATAATTTTTTTAGAATTAATATAGTTTATATAATCTGATAAGGTTTTTAAAGAAATAAGACCTTAAACGTGGCAATTTTATTAAGACAGTACATCATAAGCCCTGGCTGGCTGAAATTAAAAGTCTTTAAAAAGTCTTTTTCCAAAGATGTTGGCACATGCACATTCATCCAGCTTGTCTATACGCAGATTCAAGATGTGCGTCTATGGATTCAAAGCCACAGAAAGTGGCGTGACCACATGAAATAACTCCATTTAAATGGCTGTGCTGTAATCAAAAATAAAAGTTTTTCTTTGTGTATTGAAAGTTTGACATTTACACAACAACATTTTTAAAACAGTCTGCATTTACATATATAGGCTGTATTATGTACGCCAGGCCAGTATTTAATGCTGTTACCTTGTTAATGTACAGTACCCATAGGAAAGTGAAACCTGTGACTCGCGATTGGTGTATATTAGGGTAGGGCAAAATCTTTATTAACTGAACATTTTAACTAGATTACGATTAATAAAAATTTATTTTATAGATGTTTTCATTTTTTTTTTTTTTTTTTTTGCTCACATTTTAGACTAGTTTCGCACAGTAAATATACTCTCATATTACTATATATAATTATTTATTAAACGTCAGTGTTGAACAACTGAAATTAACTTTGTCTAAAACATTATTTTCAGTGTTTTTCATATTAAAAGTAGAAAATAAGCATTATTTATTCATTTTCTTGCTGGCTTAGTCCCTTCACTGATCTGGGGATGCCACAGCGGAATGAACCGCCAACTTATCCAGCAGGTTTTTACGCAGCGATTTGCCCTTCCAGCCACAACCCATTTCTGGGAAACATCCACAAACACTCGCACACTACTGACAATTTAGCTTAACCAATTCACCTGTACCGCATGTCTTTTGACTGTGGGGGAGACCGAAGCACCTGGAGGAAACCCATACAAACACAGGGAGAACATGCAAACTTCACACAGAAATGAAAACTGACCCCGTCGAGGCTCAAACCTGTGACCCAGCGACCTTCTTGCTGTGAGGCGACTACCTACAGCACTACCTGCTGTGTCGCCCCAAAATAAGCATTATCTTTTCTAAATAAAAAAATTCTTGGATATTCTGTAAATGTTATTTTAAACGGTGCATTTCTTGCATCTTCTGTAAACACTTTTTATTTATTTATTTATTTTTGATTAAAAAATACATTTAATATAATGGAAAATATGCCATCTCAAGGCATCTCTGGCACAGCTTCCAATTGTCAATGTAATGCAAAGTAAGGCTCAAGAATACTACCTGAGCAGAGACGGATGTGGCTGCAAAGTGGCCGCAGAAGTATAAATCAGCCTTTGCTCTAGTGTTAGTTTTGCTCCGCAATAACACTTCCGAAATGCTAGCTGGTAGAAGGTTATGTTCCTCAATGTCGAGTTTCTTTGCAAGTGTTTTGGAAAAATTTGATCAGTTATTGGTTCTGAATGTTGATTTCATTTAATCACCCAGCCCTAGTGTTTTTGTGATTTGTCATTGTTTTCATAAACATTAATTTGTAGGTGTTTAATTGTTTTGGACGAAGGTATTGTTGATGTGATGCTTATAAAATTGCTTAAATTTCATCTTCTTTCGAACTTACTGTTATTTACTTTTCGGTATTACAATTTCCTCTTCTGTTTTTCTTTTTCTTTGTTACCAATAAATAGTATGATTTATTGATTGTTTTTCATTTTGTTCAGGTAATGATGTGGGCAGAAGCTCTTATGGTGCCATGCAGGTGAAGGAGGCGTTTGACTATGCGTACATAATACTGAGTCACGCCGTTTCACCTCTCGCACGTTCTTATCCTAACAAAGACAGTGACAGGTACAACGCTTTTGTGCTTGCAGGTATATTAAGCTCTTCTCTAAAATTTCTTCAGTTTTTTTCTAAATGCATGTCATTTCTTTTGTCCACTCAGCACTTTGGGCCGCATAATTAAGGTCACCCAGGAGGTCATTGACTACAGGGAGTGGATCATAAAGAAGTGGGGTGGCAGACACAACTCACGCATTGAGAGGAACCCAGGTACATCTTCAGAAAAAGCAATACTTCAATGCTTTACAGTGAACCCTAATGTTGACAGGGCCTGTAAACACTTTGTAATCACTATGTCATAAAATATGATCTAATTTTACTTCCCTAATCCTACCCAATACCTTAACCCAACCTTAATTAATATTGATAAGCAATTAATTAATAGTTTGAGCTAAAGTTTTTAGTTAAGGGTTTGTAAATAGCGTGAATTTTACAGTTAAAATAAAGTGTGACCAAAGTATGTTATCTTTTGTAATGGTAATCCTAACCAGTTGTTTCTTGAGTCACTGGCTAATGGCAAATGTTGCCGAATTTTTAGGCTCTGGTTATGTTTCCTATCGTAAATAATAATCGTTGTGTGTATTTTAATTTAAATTATTCATTAAGTTAATGTTTCGTATGACTTCTGTTGGTGTTATGACTGATGAAATTGCCTTTGGCATGCAGGTTCTTCTCATAAGGAGCATGTGGATCAGGTGGAGACGGGCTCACTGCTAGGTGTAGGTGTGGAGGAGCAGCAGCAGAGGGATTCTGTTTCTCCTCACAGCGCAGACTCTCCGATGTCTCTGTCCAGTCCTCAACAGCACTCCTCTGCTTCATCTGCATCTTCACTGTCAGGCAGCGATATTGTGAGCATAGACCTTTGTTTTTGTATATTTTAGATGTATGAGCCTGAAGGATCATATTTGAACTAGATTTTTTTTTTTTCTAAATTGGCAACGTTTGCTGAAAAACCTAAATATGCAGCATATTTTAACACCGTTGCAAAAATGACCTCATCCAATTTTAGTTATTTTGCATTTACTTTGTTTCATTTGTATATTTAATTAGTAATATTATTATTGTTTAAATGAAAGACTCTTACTAGACTAAAGCAGCTTGGATTAGGTTGATTCAGGGTGCCTACAAGGTCTTACAAAGTCTTAATGCCTTGAATTTTAAATATAAAATATTTTCTGAAATATTGCATTGTAGGTTTTCATTTTAAATGGGGTCTTCATTTTTTTTATGTCCATGTAAAGCTATCCAATCAGGCCAACACCAGGTCACTAACAATCCATCTCAATAAAACTTTTCATTTTGAACTCTATTTACTAACATGGTTTAATTATCTTCCTTCAATAACATTTGTTATTGTATGGTGAGGACACTGACCTAGACAGACTGTTGTGCATTTAAGGCCACACGGGTATTTTTATAAAACGGAAATTAAAATAAACTTTTTTTCTATGTTAGTATCAGTATTATTTGTTTTTTGGACATTTATAAGATATCCACTCCAAAACAGTAACAATTCCCATTTAGAAGATGTAAAACTGATCAACGTCAAGTTTGTAGTTTTGTCACTTCCGCCCAAATACATGTCACCTCACACTACAGTTTTTCATCACATTATGACCAATCAAATGCTTTCTGGTATCTGGCATGCCCCACCCCCTTCAAGATGCTTTTCATTTAATGCACTTGAGCTCAACCTCTCACTGGCAAAGGGTTGATTAAAAACAAAGCCCTGTTGGCCTCTTTTTTTTCTTTTAATAGAAAGGAGCTGCTCTGTCCCACTCTCTCATGATGTTTTGGTTGAGATTACATCAAACATCCATTAAAAAGCATGTTTCAAAGCATCTCATGGGATCTTTAAAAAAAATCTGTCCACTTAAAAACACGCTGTGATGCATGTAATGGACACACTGAACCAAAATGTGGCGATATGGACACTTACACTGAGTTCACCTCAAATGAGACTGTCCTCGCTGCAGCCCGCAGCTTGATGTTGTTGACAAGGCCCACTTAGTACTTGACAATCGCCTACACCTTCTTCCTACCCTAAACCCAACCGTCACAGTAGCATGGGCACTATCTTAGTGGCCAGTACAAGGTCGCATACGTAGTTTGATCGCCTACATCTCCCCTTACCCTAAACCTAACCATCACAGTAGCATGGGTGCTACCTTAGTGGCCGGTACAAGGTCGCCTACGTAGTTGATGATTGCCTACCCTTACCCTAAACCCAACAGTCACAGTACTGTGGGCGTAACAAGTTGGTGATCGTCTGCACCTCCCCCTACCCTAAACCCTACTGTTATAGTAGCAATAAGCATTACCTTGGTACAAAGTCTATTACGTAGTTGACGATCACCTACGTCATCAAGCTGCGGTTTGCAGTGAGGAAATCTTTGCGGTGGCCGAGAGAGCTTCATGTGCTGCAATTTAAGAAAGTACATGCAATTTCAAAAACCCACAGCAAATAAAGAAACTATCTTATGTTATCATATGTTATGTCGTGTAATCAGGATGTTAAATTAAATAAACTTGCAAGTGTTGTGACCAATTGCAGCTCGTTTTTTAGGTTGTTTATGTTGTGACCAATTGCTGCCCGTTTCTTCGGTTGTCGATGTTGTGAGAATTTGCAACATGTGCTTTTAAATGAGTGAAGATCGATTCTTTATTTGCTGGTGTTAAATTGCAGCGCTTAAAGCTCTCTTGTTCACCGTACATCTTGCATCAAATAAGGTATGTTTATAATATATACCTTAGTAAATATATTCACAAATAATTTGCATTCAAATCAATGCAGACATGAATATAAAGGTGTCCCGCGGTTGAATAATGCAAAATACGCAACTTGTTTGCCTGGAATGTGCAGAATTTGCCGCATTTATGTCTTCTGTTTTTTGAAGTGAACCCAGCTGTGTTGGCAAATCAGAAAGGAGACACGCACACACACACACGCTGACAACATGAGGCTAAAACTTTGGTTTTATCCTCCACACAAAATGCTGTACCTGGAGATTTGGAAAATCTTCACCTTGAAGATTTCACTATAGATTTCACCTTCACCGTAGAAAAAAAGTGTGGTTTTGAAAATACCCATGCTAGTTTAAAAATACTAATGTTTTGCTGGGCTAACTGGGCTTTTAGAAAAACTGTAGCTTTAGCTCTGTAGAAGGTTATTAAATTATGTACAATAAGATATGTAAACATTAAGTCTTTAAAATAAATCTCTTTAAGAATAGTCTGAAAAATGCCTTTAAATTTGACTTTGTAAAACCTGCAGAAACCCTGTGATTGACCTATTTTTGATTCACCTGTATTTCTATGTATCAAATGTCATACATATGAACCATGAAAAGCTGATGAATCAAAAAAGATACTCAAAAAGGCTGTAAGGGTTATTTGCTTTAGATATGTCTCACATATCTGACTTCTGCTTCTTCAGGACTCTGACTCCACACCGTATGTCGCTCCACCTGTAGCCCCTTTCCCTCTCCAGATTCTTGCTCCGGGGCCCTTGCCACCAGCGCTTCAGATGGGCAAAGCCAGCATCGCGGCAGCACTTGGCATGCCTCCAGTCACCCAGGTGAGGGAGGACTGCTGGCTTTGTATCTCATTTTGACGATTTAATAATTTATTTTTTCCACCTGGATCTAACTTCCCATCTCTCTGTGTTTTGTCCAGGCGAGAGTGTCAATCCCAGGCAATCTTTCTCTCCACACTCTACCTGGCAGACAGGTGTGTATGGCAGATGGGCCTCCCTCATACCTCCACATGCCCCCCCCTGCAGTCCCCCCAGCTCCCCCCAGCCCTCTACCCAGTCCCCTTCACCATCCCAAGGTAGGCTGTCCTGTGTCTGCTCTCCTCTTCATGCTGTGAGTGTCATGATAGTGAACCCAACCTCCCCTGCTTCATCAAGACTTCATAGTAAAAATGTGCATTTTATGTGAGTGCTGGATTTTAGAGACATTAGTGGCCAATAAGTGAACTGCTGCTGGCAGATTGTTGTTAATACTGGCACTACTGTAGTAATAAGGTCTCCTTTTAATAATGTGCTCTAGCTCTGTATCAAAAATATATCTCTATCAACTATATTGTAGAAAAAAACATCTAATTTAAAACTGATTTATAGAAAGTACCATAGTGAGTAAGCTAAAGTTAAATTAAGTGTTTTTTTTTAGTTTTTTTTTAGCACATTTGGTGTTTAAAGAGTTACTTGTAGTCAGTTTTTTTCCTTCCCATTAATCATCAAGGTTAAATTTAGATTTTTTTTTTTTTTTGACTCATAGTATGATTTAAACATTCGGACCTCGTGGTTTGTGCGAATAAATCCCACTGTTTGCATGTAAATAGATGCGTGAATATTATAAGTTTACTTAATGTACACATCAAATCTGATGCTGAATGACTAACATGGATTTTATTTAGCAAGTAACTGCTTTAGAAATGCTGCAAAACAGTGGAGATTCCAGGGTTTAACACAAAGGATTTTTTAATGGCCTGATCTCACTACAGTCGATCTGCTCTAAAGTTTTTCATTCAAGTCGAGACCACCTCATTTAGGCGATCTCGAATCTGAGCGCAATTGCGGGATTCACATATGCCAAGCGAACCGCACTAATGCCGAGTTCAGACTGCATGAATTTCAAAGTAGTCATGTCACGGGTGTTTTCACAGTGGATGACTATCTGGGGTAAGCGTTCAGTCGTTCCAGTGTTTACACCGCAAGATGGATCTTAAACAGGGGGTTTCAAACTGCATGACTTTAAAATAGGAAGAATTGGAGACAACTTTGTCTCAGTCCAAAAATTATGTCTCACAACGAAACACGTGTGAGAATTGACATAACAATGCCGATAATAATCGATCTGGCCAGTTATGATCCTGTCTACTGTCCCGAGCATCTTGCACGCTCACTCCAGGCCGTCTGGTTGTCCTTATTGTCGTGCCCTGGATTCATTCAGTCCACTCTTTCCTTTCCTGCAGTACACCCAGCTCTTTGAGTTAATAAGCAACTCCAGAAACCATACCTGGGTGATGGAAGCTTTTCAAGCGGTACTGTCAACTGAGCTGGGCCCAGTTTAATGAGCTCTTGTCTCATGTCAGCAGGAAGATTTCCCCTCGGGATGCCAACAATAGGTGCTACATCATAATTATGCCCAATCTAGACCAAGGTTCTGATTGGTTGGTAATTCAGATTTTTATTTTTTTATTTTAACTCAAGGGATTCGTGTGTCAAATGTGCCTAATCTATTTGCATCTTTGCATTAATTTAACATTTAAATCACTCACGCTTGATGCTTTATCCACCAACTATTAGGCTTACCAATACTGCTTGAAAAATGATAAACTGCAAAAAATGTATATCTTTAGTGTAATGCAATTTATGCAAAAAACAATCACTCTAATGTTAATTTAATAATCCATATAATTCTCAATAGTTAGTCCATTTTGACATTGAACAGTTGAGTGATTTTGATTTGTTGGAAAAACAAATTTCCATGGTGCATTTATTAAAAACAATTGAAGAAATCTTTCACATTTCCTTACTATCACTATATTCACCATTTAAATGCATCCCGTTTAAAAAATCTTTACAATAGGATTCTATTAGTATACCTTACTTAATGGTTTAATGAGCAATCAGTATTTACCTTTTCATATGAATCCTAATGTAATTCAGTTGATGTGAGGTCAGGACAGGCCTATTATATTACCAGGTAACATTTGATTAATACAAGTAAAAAAAAAACTGTCATAGATTATTGAATGATCTAGAAGCATTGTTCTTAGCTTGTTTACAGTGTAAACATTGTTGTAAAGCCTTACAAAGACAGTCTACTGACTTTTAAATGGTTGTGCGTTTACTTAAACTTTTTACATATTTAAAGGTGCAGTAGGTGATCTGCCAAAATGCCTAACGGTTAGCATAATATCTAAAACACTGTCCCACTCCTGCCGTCCAAAGCCATGATTCTTATTATCATGAACTCGCACCTTAAAGATGACAGTAGATAACCCCATAAGCCATATAATTTGCCAGTTATAAAACTTACTTTATAATACTACAATTTCGAACAAAATACCGTATCATATCTAGCACGTTTTTATTTGTGTAGCAAGCAAAACTTAATGTGCAATATTTAATGTCATGCAAGGATCGCTGGTCTCACTCTCTCACATGCTTTGTTCTAAAGCGACTACTGTATGCTTCGTGCTTGGCTGGCTGGATGCAGGAATTACACATTACTAAGCCATACTTGCATGCTATTTTAGACTGGATATTCAAAGTAGCATGGTAAACAATATAGGTCAGGTTGTCAATGTTAAATTAACCAATGTGAAAATAAAACCAACTTCACCTCAGGAACAGTGCTATTTACTTATGTTTTGCCATTAAACTAAATAAAAATCTACATTATTAATGTTGTAAAAGGTCTCTTATGAAAAAAATAGTCACATAAATCTTTTGCTGGAAGATTTCAGTGGCTGAACAACACTTCCGTGCATATAACCCATTCATTTCAACAACACAATCTACATTAGCTCAAAGAGCTTAGAATGACCAGGAGGCGACACTTAATAGAATGTTCCATTGCAACAGCAGCGCCCAGCAACAGCCCTGGATTCTGCCATTTCGGAGTGAAAGCGATCGGCCGTCCATTGGATCTGATTGCTGTCGCCATGGCAAGCAGTTACTTTGTTTTTTATTTATTTATAAAGCGCAATAAAGCTGAGATACAACATGAAAGATGACAATACAACACTACAACAACAACATTATCACAATCATTAGCACTTTTAGTAGTTTATTTTACAGACTTAAAATATGCTGTTGTCCTATTGGAATTTTCAGTCCAAAATGACCATCACACCATCTAGTGGCTGTTTTCCAAAACTAGAGTGTCGCCTCTTGGTGATTCAGTGCTCTTTGAAGAGTTTTCTGTGACTAAAATAGTTTTAAAACATAACATTACCTGTCTAAAAGAAATACTTCAGCCATGGTGTCATTCTTCCTCCAGCGTGCAAAAATGGTATCCTCTCTCTCCCTCTCTCTCTCTCTCTCTCTCTCTCTCTCTCTCTCTCTCTCTCTCTCTCTCTCTCTCTCTGTCTCTCTGTCTCTGTCTCTCTCTCAACGGCTGCTCAAAAGTACAAATCTACATTTGTTGACGCAGTTTGAGCTACTTATCAGAATTATGGGAGTTATCGGCTTACAAACATTTTTCTTAAGTCAATCACCTACTGCACCTTTATAATACTAAATGGCAATGCCTCTTTCTCAGGATCCTAGCATCGTCCTAAGCTGTCCTGTTTTGTCTTCTCTTCTTCAGGCAGGTCCCAAGTTCCCTCTAAAGGGCTTCCACAATCCCGCCGTGGTGCACAGTCCTGTCCTTTCCAACCGAGGCCACATTCAGTACAACCGCAACACGTGGCGCCGCAGGAAGAGGGACAGTTTGCCGGCCAGCGTCAGCAGATAAAGACACTTTCCCCTCCACTCGCTTCCTTTCCCACCCATCTGGTCCCATCCTAACCCGATGAGAACTCATTGAGCCCTCCTACTGATGCCGAGAGCGCAGACAGACCAGCGTTTGAACCCAGCTCCTCCTTCAGTAGTTGTGGTGATTGGTGGTGCTAAGTAGTTCAGTCTGCCACTGAATCTGTGCATGTAAATGTTGACACTTTTTTTGACCTGTGCAATCTTCCTGAGGAAGCTTCGAGAACAGGAACTGTTTTTTCGGGCATCTACTCTACAACTTCCAGGTTGGCAGGTGAAACGTTCCTTTTTTTTTTTTTTTTTTTTTTTGTGAGTGTGTTTTCAGATTTTCAGTCAAAACGGGACACCCTTCACATGCTGGACGAACTTGATTCAGTGGATTACAAGTTTGTTTGTTTGTTTTGTTTGTGGTGTTGGGTGAGGATGTATGTGTATGTGTATGGTATGTATGTATGGTATGTATGCATGTATGTATGTATGTATGTGTGTGTGTGTGTGAGACGCTGGCTTCAAATCCTGCACTCGAGATGCTTCCAGAGACTTCCACCGTATTGACTGTACACCTCACGCAAACTTTACTTTGTTTTTTTTGTGCAATAGTTTTCTTTTGTTCTCTCTGGAAACGTATTTAAATTTGATTTCTTTGTCTGACTTTCTTTTTTTTTGTTTGTTTTTGTACAAATGTTTTTATTTTTGTAACGTTTTTAATTTTGCTCATCGTTTACAGATCCTGTCAGACAGGCTCCTTAAGGGAAAAGTCTGTTTTAAAACTGTTTAGTGAGAGTTTATATTCCCTCTTCCCCCTTTTTCGCAGCATAAATTGCACCTGATTGAAGCGCGAGTTAAAAGCGGCCAGTGTAGATCTCGCAAACAAAAAGACACTCTGCCTACAGGTGTCGCCATTTCCCACTTTGTGTTCCCACATCAGGAGCCATTGCTTTTATTTGTCTCGTTCAGTCGTCTGTCTTTAAGGTTGTTGTTGTTGTGTGGCGTTGGACTCGTGACATCAGAAAAGTCTAAATGCGCATTCGTTTATATGTGTATGTGTCCGTTTTAAATCGCAGTAGGTAAGGGTGAGACACAATTTTAGGGAGGCTCTAATGAACGTGCGAGCGAACTCCAGATCAGTGCAGCTTTATGCAAGGTGCCCTAATCGGACCTTTCGACTTTTGAACGGGCACCCGAATCAGACATGGCGGAGAAAGGGAATTTATTTTGATTCCTTTCTGGAATCTTGACGTGCATTTATTGCCAGGTACTTGCGCTAATATATGCCTTTTTGGTAATGACCTATTGCTGTACTGTATGTATTGTATATTTTGTTTTTGTATATGGCACACTAAAACTGTATTGCTGTTGCTCAGAACGTCACAGGCATACAGGTTATATTGTTACTATGCAAGTGAAGTTGAGGATCTCTCTTCCTGCGTCCCTCATGACAGCCGTTTTGCTTGTAAATCTTGTCAAGACCATCCCGATCTGAGAGCGACGCGTAGAGGTACATGTGAACAGTTCCTGTTTGCAAGTTCAGTCCGTTTTAATGGAGGGAAAAGCAACCGGACGTCTTGTCTGGAGTTAATATTCCCTATTTGAGATCAACCGGACTACATTTACTACTGTTCCAACACTACAACCATGACTTGCGCTCCTTATTGGAGGACTTTGATGGCCACAAACTTGCGTGACGTGCTTTACGAAGTCTAAGACTATATACGAATTGTCCTTGTAACTCTTTGACTCGCCTGCCTATCAATGCAATAGAGCAAATGTAACTCTAATAGCAGTTTCTGCTTTTAGATAGAACCAGCATCTTTTGCGAATGGGTCAGACGTTGAGGCAACTCTTCCCCTCCTTCGATTTGTCTGAATGGAAATGGCTCTGCTTTTCCTGCGGAGGTGTGTGTGGAAAGGTGTTTCACTCTGTGATGGTTTGACCTTTGTGGTGATGTACTGATAGATACAGTGTGAGACTCCTCATTGAATATCAATGATGGATTTTAAATGTACCCCCCCTTTTTTTTTTTTTGCTGACGTCTGTTATGTCACAGTGGCCAAAAGCACTCTGAACTTGACAATTATACTTAAAGACTTCATTGTGGCCACCCAGCATCCAAGAGGTCAGACGGAGGAATTGTTTTTGTTTTCCTTCAATATTTTTATGTATTTTTTTTTCTATTTTATTTTTTAAATAAACATCTTAAAACCATGCATAGTTTATTGTGGTTTGTATAAATTGGTTTATTATTAGTATTATTATTACTAATTCAATTCGTGTTTTTTACAGTGCTTTTTACAATGTAGATTGTGTCAAAGCAGCTTAACATTTTGAGTTTGAGTATAATTGTATAACTTTAACTCTGAAAACTGGACTGACACGATTTCAATTTCAATTTACTTTAGTTTGGTGTAGTTTAATTTTCACTGCTGAAATTCCAAATACTCTGTACACGTTCCAAACCAAGCATGCCAGTGGTGAGGAACAAACCAATTGACGAAAGTGATGGAAAAAATCTTAGGAGAAACCAGGCTTAGTTGTGCATGACCATTTCCACCCTGGACAAACTTCTCATGCAGAGCTGCAGTCTAGATGCTGGAGAAAGCTGGATGTCCATCGTGGAGAAACTGAAGGTGTTAGTTGGTCACTGGCGAGTGTTCAGGCTGGCCCACAGGATCAATGCGGGGAGACTCATCTGTCACTAAGTCAGGATTAAGTCTCATGCTCTCCAATCCTCCATGACCACCACAGCAGCTGCTCAGGATACGACCTGGTCCAGGGTTATGGAGACCTCTAGAAGTCCTCTAGGGTTGGCATCATATCTTCATAGGACTTGGATCTCGTCAATTATTCTACTACTTCTTCTCACCATTATTATTATTTTTTTATTACTACTACTAATTCAGGATTAAGCTGGGCAGTCAGTAGATCAGAGATGCCCAAACTAGGGCCCGTGGACCAAAGTTGCCCGTTTGTATCCTTTGGTTTGGCCCGCTAGAGGAAAAAAGATTGGGAGGGGAGGGATTGGGGAATGCCTTTAACCGAGATTCTCATTTCTATTTTGTTGTAACTTTTTGTCTGTTTTATTGTTGAGCTACAAAAAAAAGAATAGATGTTTCAATTAAATGTTGTAAATTAAACAGATTTTATTGAATGTACATAGTGTCACTTAATGAGTAGAGGACAAAGCAGAAGATGTTAGTGTGTAAATCAAGGCAAGGTTTGTTCAAATAATATACATTTTCGAAAATTAGAATGGATTACTAAATATGGTTGAAGTAATCTTTATATTTATTTTTAATTCCCTTCTGAAAAATCCAGCTTAAACCAGCCTAGGCTGGTTGGCTGGTTTTAGCTGGTTGACCAGGCTGGTTTTAGAGGGGTTTTGGCCATTTCCAGGCTGGTTTCCAGCCATTTCCAGCCTGGTCTTAGCTGGGAGATGACCAGCTAAAACCAGCTTGACCAGCCTAGCCAGGCTGGGAGCCCAGCCAAAACCAGCTTTGTCCAGCTTAAACCAGGCTGGTCAAGCTGGTTTTAGCTGGATTTAGCTGGTCATTTTCCAGCCCGACCAGCTAAGACCAGGCTGGAAATGGCTGGAAACCAGCATGGAAATGGCCAAAACCCCTCTAAAACCAGCCTAGGCTGGTTTAAGCTGGATTTTTCAGCAGGGTTGTTTTTAAATAAGTTAGGAAATTGTTCATGGCAACTTTAATGTTATACAGTTTGCTAGATTTACCTTCAGCCCACAGCTCTCAATCAAGCTAGGATGTTGGCCCTTCATAAGAAAGTTGGGCACGGCTGATCTAGATTTACAAACTACTTTTATAAATTGAGCAATTTAAATAAACATGAATTCCTGAGAAATTTATTTTATTTTTTTTAACAACTTAATTGTTTTATGTCAATTAGATTTGGGCTTATGTTAACTTAATCGATTTGTGTTGGGACAACGTGAATGAATTGTGTGGAACCATGCATTTTAGTGTACTGGGAACAGTACATGATTGTAGTTTTTTACCACTAGATGGTGGGCTTGCACCTCACAAACACCATAAGTCAGTCAGGGATGTTGTTTTTTATTGTTTTTATATATTTTGACTACCATAAAGGTGCAAGTTTGTGCTTGATTGAAAAATTAAACTGGGTAACCATGGTTGTGTTAAAATAAAATTAGATAGATGTTCATAAATTTCACTAGTCTTCAGTGATGTTTTAGTTCTATCAACTCTTTTGTAATCTGTTTGGATTTTATGATGAACAGATGAAGGAAGCTGAAAAACGTTGCCTTAGCAATGAGCTGAGTTATGCTCTAAAATATTATTTAATTTTATTTCAAGTAATACAAAATGTTTCTATGTTTTAAATGATTATGTTTAGGTAGTGACCCAGGTATAAAAAAAATGTGAGATGTTTTGAAAAAAAACACTTGCAGCCTAATTTAAAATGACGTATTTTTAAGGATTCAGCTATTTGTTTGCTAATTTCCAATGTTGCAGCAAATCACTGATGGTATTAAATGATTACAGTAATTAGATTGTTGCTTATTTCATTTCAAGTATACATTTGATTTTAAAATGCTCATCTGATTAGTTTGCTATCGATTTGTTATTACAGATTCTTCCAATTACACTTTTTTTTCCTCTTCTTTACATGAAATGTTCTATTTAGGTTTTAATGTTAATATACTGAAACAACAAACTAAATTATGTACTGGATATTACTATCTGGATTACGTTACTTACTATATTTTTCGAGTAGTTTTTTTTTTTTAATTATGTTGTTTCGAATGCAAATCACTTTGAGATTTTTTAAGTCTTCACATAGATACGCCAATAGGTGGCGACAAATGACTTAAATCATTTGGTGACAAAACTGCTGGAGAGGCGCGCGGTTTCTTTCTGCTGGGCCTGTTTTTTGAAAGTGTATACAGTTTTCGCTTGTTGAAAAAAAAGCTGACAGGTAAATGGGGTGTCTAAAGATGTCACTCAATAATGTAGTAGTATCTGTTGTTTTAAATGTCAAATTCTTGACAAGCTAAACTGAATAACGTTACAAACGCGACCAATATATGATTCATTTTCACTTGTTTAACTTTAGCTCTGGTCATGTGAGGTATTTCATCAAAACATTGGAACAGACAGGTAAGGTAAGACAGCAGGTAAGAGTATTAAATATTTTTTAAAAATCTGAAATGTTAGACTATCATGTGATGATAACTTAAATGTCAATCATAGCATGACGAGACATTTTGTTATCTGCATTAAATATTGCATATTAGCATAACGTTACTGTTTAAGCTTTGTGTGTATTAGCGGTGTAACAGATCACAAATCTCACAGTTCGGAACTCTATATCTCTTGATAAAATATTTGGTGGCATGTTTTGATGGCCACCTATTAGTTAAATAAATTGCTTCAGCTTTCATTTTTGAACATCAAGTTAAAGGCTTAACCCTGCTGAAAAAAACAGCTAAAACCAGTCAACCTGCTTAGGCTGGTGTAAGCTGTTTTTTCAGCATGGATGAAGGTGATTAGATGGTGATTATAGGCTTTTCCCATAACATAAGTTTACATCTAAACTCTAAATTGCAGTACTTCCGTGTTATTTGATTTGAACTAACTAAAATAGGTAAAAAATGAATCTCTTTCTTGTCCAAAT